GCACACCACTCATCAGGGTGTAGACCATCTACCTGCCAGAATGAGGGGGCACTTGGCAGGTCAACACATCCCTCTGTGTCTGGTTTGTGGGAAAGTGGTCCTTCTGTGAGTGGAGAATAAACTCTTTTCCTATATGAAGACCTTCAAATAGGCTCCTGTTTTTCAGTCTACTTCTCACTTCCGTCCTGACATCGTACTTTCTGCCATTTCTAATACAGAGCATCTCATGGGTTCTGCTGAGATTGGCTCCCTTCTGGCTTCAAGCCCTCGCCACTGCACTGTGATCTACAGCCCCCTCCATTCCGCTCCACTTACCACCGTTTGCCACACATTTAGTGATTTCTAAAAATCTGTTGGCATCTCCCTTCCTTGAGGTTCTCTTTTGGTTGCGGGCTTTGCGGCTTTGCTATACGTTTTGTGGCTGCTATATAGATGGGATCTCACTATGTTATCTTAAATCTGAAACACTGGTGACAGCAGGAGAGCGGGGCTTGGGGGCATTATTAGATCGTCAGATTTTAAAATCCAGAACTGATACTGCCAAGTTTGGGTGACAATTTGGCAAAACACATTCGGGAGGCAATTTTGTAAAATACACGAATAATTCTAATTCTTGCTTAGTCGTTATGGTAGAAAAGCCTTACATGTGCTCTAAAATTGGATCAGTAATTTGATTTTTTCCCAATACATTCTAAAAAATAAATGACCTTAAATATGAAAACAGTTTGATCAACACAGTTTTTTACCTCAAAGTTCTGTATTAATGTGAAAGAATGTAAGTGGTTTAAGCATTGGGGAAATGATATACAGTCTCTACAAAATATTTAGTCATATGAAAATGGTTTAGAAATATTTAGAATCACATGGAAATATTTATGCTGTAGTAGTAAATGAATCAATAGAATGCAAGTTACAGTGGAACTTACTTTAAATTTGTCTTAAAAAACTAAGCTAAATGTTAATAGTGGGGCAGTGGGGCTCGCGGTGCTTTACTCTTTAAAAAAGAAACCATCTATGTCATATTTCATCTTTCATAAATCCACACGATGTATTTAATAAACTTCCAAAAGGAAAAAAAATAAACCTATGAAATAGCAACAACAATAATAAAAGACTAGAAGAAACACACTCACTCACACACACACACACACCCACACACACACACACATGACAACAAGTTCTAAAGAGAGCTCACTAATTTTCATCCACTCTGTCATCAACTATTTTCTTACTATCTCATCTACCATCCTCAACAAAGTTGAAATATCACCTTGAAAAATTTCTCCCCAGTTTCTACTGGAGTGAGAGCTTTTACTGAACAGAGGAAGTAAGGAAAATAAGTAAATGTATTCAAAAAATGCAGCATCTAGAATGAAGTCGAATATCTCCTGGGGTTTTTTTTCATGTTTTTCAAAGTGGTAGTTGTAACAACTTTTTTTTTAAAGTACTGTATTGAAAGAAGGTCAGTTTTAAAACTTATCTGTAAACAATAAAATACTAAAAACCTCAGATGGATGTTTATAAGCAAAACATTTGTGCTAATGTAAGTATCTTATACCTCACTGGCATGAATCTCCCCCATGATATCATCCAAAGTATCACCCCCATGATATCATCCAAAGTAAATCTAGGGCACATTTCTTCTGCTCTGTGTGTCTGGGTCTGTAAACATTTCATGTGAAGGCAAATGTAAAGTATTTCTTTCACCTGAATACGATTTTTCTGCAAAATTCATGTTTTTTTCCATGAAATTCTCTCTCTCCATATATATTTCACATAAATTGCAACACTATATGGATAGCAGGGAGTGTTGTAAGTTTTGTTTCTCTGGGTAACGTATTCCTGTGGGTTTTATAAAATGGCCTACTGTATTTCTTACGGATTCATTAAATCAAAAGGATGGAATTTAAAATGCTGTTAGAGCAAAAAGTCAGAATAAAATTTTCAAATGTTCTTCATATATCTGATGTATGACATGGAGTCTCAGGAGCCATGTAACCCCACAATAATCTTTCGTTCTAGTTTGGTTTTGGTTGCATCATAAATTGTTAAGATAAGATATTACATGGACCTGGTTTAGTGGAAATTAGTTTGGGGGTACTTAAACAGGGTATATCCCCGCATGGTGCAGTCTCCAAAAGGGGTGTGTGTGTGTGTGTGTGTGTTTGTGTGTGCGCTTTAAATAAACAGTACTTTTTTTTTTATGGTAGAAATAGGTATGTCTTATCCTCCTTGAAAAAAAAATCAGTTAAGAAAAACTCCCCAACCCACTTGTGGATTTCTATAGTTCCAGGCAAGCATAATACTTAATATTAAATTTAAAAACAGAATCTTTAAGCACACATAACTGTGCTGCTTCTTAGCGACTAATTGGCTAACTTTTTATACATGTCTGCGATGTTTGATGTGAACTGAATAGAGCAGTATTCTATTACAATCTCACATAGTTTCCTTTGCAACTCACATAAGCAATTTCTTTTTTATTTCTAAACTTTGTGGGAAGAGTAATTTATACAACTAATAATAGATACTGGGAGACAGCATTTTAATGAAAACTATTTTAACTTGTTTATAGTTAATTTTGCTTTCAAATTATAGGTTAGACTGACCACACTCTTAATTAATTTTGAAATACAAACCTAAAAATGTTATGGTACATGAAGAAATAAGATGCAGGAAAAATTGGCATTAAATGATTATTTTCCTAAGTGTTAAAAATTGACAAAATTAATGAAACATCACAGGTTTAAATGCATAAATGATAGTTTTAAAATAATAAAGTAGCTGCTTCTACTTACCCACTAACTGTGACCTTTTGAATAAATTTAAATTGAAATGAATTGTAAAATTTAATTGCAATTAATAATAACTAGATTTTGTTTGCTTTCATCAATCCTGCAGCAAGTCTGCACATATTCAAAATTTGGAACTTGTCCAAATCTGGCAATTACTTTTCATTGGCCCATTTTTATAACATTTAAAAATTTGAAGCCATCAAAGTAAGACTGTGATAACCATTTTCCAGAAAAATATTCAAATGTGCAGTGAAGTCTCCTTTCTGCTTTTATCTGCCACTTTATTCACCTTAACTCTACTTTGGAAGTTTTGTAGTAATTGTAAGTTTCATTATGTTTTTCTCTATGAATTTAAAGGAAATGCGTACTTATACTAAATATGGTTTAATATTTTTGTAGAAAAGGTCCTAATTTGATGATAAGATTTTGCTGATTATTACTGTAATAAATACAAGTTTAATGTCTACTTAGTTGATGTAAAGTGGTCAAAGTTTCATACCAATCTCTTTGAACTCCTTTGAATTTGGACCCTCTTATCACTGTCTTGTCAACCAAAGAGGCAGGACATCACCTGTCCCCATTCAGGGTCTGGATAAAGGAGACTCAGTGTCACTGTTCATGGAAGTCCTGGCCCTAGGGTATCACCCATACAACACTGTTATTGTGTTAACATTGTGCAAAATATGGCCATATTGGCAAGCATTTTAAATTCCCATTTAAACATTCCATGGATCTGCTATTTTGATAGAGGCATGTGCAATGCATTGTTCGTCTTGTTTAACGTCTTAGTAGGACACAATACATTGTATCAGCGGCATTCTGTGACAGCAGACACAACACATTGTGCAGATACTATAACCAGCTGCTTCTGTGGACCTAGTTCTCTTCCGTTGATGACCTCAGGATACATAGAGCAGTGAGTTAAGCTTCGCTGACCTTGAACATTTCATAGTACATATCTCTGTTAAGTCTTTAGTTCTCCCTGTATTATTAATTCATTGGAATTTTCTTGCTCAGGAAGAAGTAGTTCTTAACAATTCTTCTGCAGTATTTTCCTTTATAAAAAAATACAGTACGCGTCTCCCTTTTTCTTATTCTCACTTTAACTTTTACGTGTTCTTACGAACAGCTACAGGTTAGTTTTCCTCCCACCCGTCTGCGCGTTTTCAGTAGTACGTTTTTTTTTGCCAGCTAAACAGCACTTCTTTTACTCTCTTACATTCTCACCTAGTGTATCTAGGATTTATTCATCCTTCTGAGATATTTCTGTGTAACAGTTGAGTCAGCATTAGTGAAAATGAGAGCCTGATGTTTAGGAATCAGCCTTTCCTGGAGATGCTGGTTCTGAAGTACAGAGAAAAAGTGACATGTGTTCCCAGGAATAGTGGAAACAGTATCAGAGTAGTCACACATGAATAACCCAGTCTTAGACTGATGGCTTTATAAACGTGTGGAAATTATATTTTATAGCATAAAGTAAACCTCAGGTTAGTTGATTACTAGTAAACTGGAGAAAATACACAGCTTGACCTTTTTTGTGGGTGCCTTTTATTGTTTGTTCCATGTGATTACCTTGTAATATTAATTTTAATAATGTATGAGTTTTTGAGAAGACAGATCTCTTCTGAGTCCTCTGACACACTGAGGTTTATGGATATAACTATTAATTCTGTGGCTCCTTAGGACATTCTTCTAATCAGTCAACTACCCCACTTAGGCCATTTTTACTAACATAATATATATTTTTTATTTGGGGGGTAATTGGTTTATTTATTTGTTTATTTTAATGGAGATACTGGGGATTGAACTCAGGACCTTGTGCATGCTAAGCACATACTCTACCACCGAGCTATACCTTCCTCCCCCCATTTTAGCAAAAATCTTAAATGAAACTTCAGAGTCAGTCCTACAAAATGTGATGGGTACATGGTAAAAGGAAATTCAAAATCAGAGAATTATAAATAGCAAGAAAAAGCTCTATTCAGGTTGCCAGAAGGCTCTGGTTTCAGTTGGGGCTGGGTCCAGGAATTCCTAATAGTTGACCAAGACTTGTGCAAAGATCATTTTCACAAGAAATTTGAAGGATGCATAGACAGATGACAACCCTTCCTTGTTGCCTTAAGTGTATGATGATTTTAGTGTGATGAAAAGAAATCCTTTCCGAACAGCACAGACAACTGATAGCGTTCTCTCTTCTTCAAATAGGTTATGTGGGTATGCAATTTGTGTCGAAAGCAACAAGAAATCTTAACCAAATCTGGGGCGTGGTTCTTTGGAAGCGGCCCTCAGCAGCCGAGTCAGGATGGAACCCTCAGCGATACAGCCACGGGTCCTGGTTCAGAGGTACCCAGAGAAAAGAGAGCCCGGCTGCAGGAGCGATCGCGGTCTCAGACCCCCCTGAGCACAGCCGCCACCCCCTCCCAGGAGCCGGCTGCCCCCAGTGCACAGCCAGACAGGAGCAAAGGGGCTGAGCCCTCCCAGCCAGCTGTGGGGCCGGAACAGAAGCAGGCGTCTTCCAGGTCTAGAAGTGAGCCTCCCAGAGAGAGGTAAGAGGTTGTTAACCTGGTAAGCAAAAGACAAAGTCATGGATGGAGAGCTAAGCTATTTTCAGGAATGTAACTGCTGGTAAGAGGAGTAGTACCTCTCAGGCCCCCCAAGGAGGCAGCAGGGGGCCCCCGGAGTGCTTTGACTCGGTCCAGAATGTGTCATTCTTTAGGAGACCTTTGATGAGGAGCTGTTCTTTAAACTCATGCACAGACGTGAACAGGTCATTGACTAAGTCACCCAACAGAGCTACTAGCGTCCAACCCTGGACGTGAAAAGCTCTTGCATCTGTTCACTGTTCGAATGAGCCGTGTGTGTGCTCTGTGCGAGGAGGATGGAGGATACTGACCCACTGGAAGGTGCATGGGTACCTCAGCAAAGCCTCCTTGGAGGACATTTCTTTGCGCTGAGCTTTGAGTGACTAGGAATGAGCCAGGTGAAAGGTGGGATGGGTGACCCAGGGGTGGGCACAGCGATGTGCCCTGAAGGAACCAGGCTGGTAGGAGACCCTAAAGTATGCCCACTGGCTAGAGAGTGAGTCTCAGAAGGGGAGGAAGGACCTGTAAGGGATCAACACCTGGTCACACTGGGCCTTTTAGCCAGGTTACACTTTATAGACTTTATCCTAGAAATGATGGAAAGTCAGGACCTAAAACAATCAGATAATTTACTTCAATTTGTTGATTGATTGATTGATTCGTTCATTCAAAAATGCACTGATGACCAGACAGGATGCTGTGCTCTCGGGGACAGTGTTAACAAGGAAGACATGGTCCATTTTCCCCTGCAGCTGGGAGTCTGGGGGACCCGACTGTCAGCACAAGGCGTGCTGCCTTTGTCTGTGCGGCCCTTATATATTCGCCTAGGTGGGAGGGTAGGATCCGAAGAAGGCTTCTCTCCTTTTTCAAACAAAACCCGTACAGTAAGGTCAAAGACTTCAAAGTTAAACAGGTCTCAATTCCAGTCCTGGCTGTCACTGTAATAGGCAGTAATGACCCACCTTGCAGGGGTTGAATGAGAATGTGGGAGGCCACGAGTGAAGGCAGCCAGTAGTCACCACGTGTTTACTGTCAGCCAATGCTGCCAGGAGCCACAGGGTATAAAGACAACTTGGACATGGTCCCTGTTCCCACTGATCCTTGGAAAGAGACCACATCGTCTCCGAGGGAGGACAGAGCCCTGAGTGGGCAGTGAACTGTCCCAGAAGGCTGATATGATCAAAGGTAAAAAAAAAAAAAAGTACAAAAATTAGTCCTTTGGAAGCCACAGGAGACAGGAGTGCCTTCAGAATGAAGCTTTCTAGGAGCCCCCCTGCCCGCCCCGGAGTTGTGCAGTGGGGGGATAGAGGAGGAGAGGACGTTACATGAAGGAAGCAGTGTACTTCCACCGTGTGGAGGGAAGACAGAAGCCCACCAGAGTTACCTCAGTGATGGCAGGACTTAGAGCTCTTGCCGACAAACTGTCCTGAGTTAAGAAGAGACAATTATGTCGAAGGTGAAGTTTGCAATGGGTCAGAAAATGGTATCTTTAAATAAGATAAAGAATTTGGGACCCTAATGTTTCTAAAGAGAAAATATGAGTCCTGTTTAGGATACACAGTTAAAAAGAAAAACTGCAAAGAATTCAAGAATAAGGACTGGGAAGAGGTTTTTTGATGACATTGGAAAAGACTGATCAGGGCAAATACCCTTTCTGATTCTGTAAATTACTTACTGATTATGTAAATACTTCAGAAAACAATGAGATCCCTGGGGGTGTAGAAGGAAAAGAAAGAGCAGGTGGCAGGAAGCATTGGGCAGGTTCAGAGAAAGAAGCAAGACCAAAGGAATGGCTGTCTGTTTCAAATTCTTGAAGAATTCTTGATCAGATTTTGTACACTCGTCAGGAGCTAATGGAAATGGAACAATTAAAGGTAGAAATGAGGGGGGAGGGTGTGTAGCTACCTCAGTGGTAAAGCATGTGCTTCGCATGCACAAGATCCTGAGTTCAATCCCCAGTCCCTCCATTAAAAAATAAATAAATGAACCTAATTAACTCCCCACAAATTAATTAATTATTTTCAAAAACAAAGACCAAAAGGTAGAGGTGAGAAAAGGCCTATTCAGTGAAGCAAAGAATCAGAGACTGGGGAAAACCTATTTACATAATGCTCTATCCTTCCCTAAAGCATTTTCTCAGTGTCTCCTTTAGTCCTCACGTGAACTCTGCAAGGTAAGTGTTATTTATCAGCATTTCAAAAAAAAGTAATTTGTCTCAATACAAACTTCCAACAAGCACAGCTGTTCCTTCAGGAGCTACTAAAGGTTTGCAGTCCGTCAGCACATGCTTATGAAATCGGTATTGGATGACGACTAACTGTATTCATACTAGTCCCCTTACCTTGTAAAACTGCGAAGCTACCCTGGCAATGCCGCCCTCCCACAAATTCCCTTCCACTTCCAAGGGACCGAAATGCCTCCAGCAGAACTGGCCAGGCTTTTATTTTGCTTTTCTCTGCCATTTGAAGCCCTTTTCCCTTCTTTCCATCATCACTGAGCCCTCCTCAAACCAACCCCACGATGTATCTTAGCAACTACTACTTTGTAACCCGCAGTAGAAATTGCCCTACTTTTCCCAATTTTTATATTATTCTCGATTCACTGGAAAGCCCTCTTTAGGGATCCTAGGATTCCAAAAAGAGCCACAGGTGGCCTCCATTTTAATGGCAGAGTAGACCACGTAGTGTCAGAAAGCTCCACTCAGCCATCCCCTTTTTGTAACTTTTGGTACAGCTGCTGGGCCGTTCCCAAATCAGATGTACTGCAGTGTACAGAAAAAGAGCAATTAAACAACACATCCACAAGAGTCAAAGACTGCCGACTCCTCCTCCTTCACTTTTATCTTTGCCAGCGCCTTCCACAGGATGGAGAGAAAAGTTGAATGCAAACCTGTTTTCTTCTTTCGGACTGTGTTCTGAAATGAGGGAATGGACCAGGGAGGGAGGAAAAATGAGTCATCCTGCCAAAAATTTCACTATTTCTGTTATTTTTGCCTGGGGAAGGTAAACACGAAGGCTAAGATTCAGTCAATGTTTTTCCCTAACCGACTCCCTAAAAAGTGTTTGGCTGCACATGACCTCTTTAAAAGCGCTTTTGTTCTATTGAAGGAATGCTGTTCGCGTTTTCTGTGATGGACATACTTGTGTTCACGTTTCTTTAAAAGTTGCAGTTATAGTAAGGTATTTTTAATACATATTGTCCAAATAAAAGTCTAGTCTATATTGAGTTTTTAACTTGTGTATACATTATGTTTTGCTCCTTTATTATTTTTATCTAAAGCATTTTTTAAGTCTTTGATTCAGAGGTCAGCAGAAAACTTGTTCACTTACTAAATCCCTTTATAGTTTTTTAAAAATTGATATAGTTAATTCATAGAGAGTTTAAAACGTGAAACCAGTTGCGGAGCCCCTGAAAAGATGATCATGCAAAAGACCCTTATTTGGAAAGCTACTCACGTAGGTTGAATGTGGTTGTTTATTTCTCGCTTTTTAATTAGACCTCGAAAGATCACTAATTATTCCAATGGATTTAAATCTGGAATGGGGGGAAACAGTGCTTCTTGAGTCTGCCCTCCTGCCTGACGCCCCCTTTGTACATCCCAGGAAGAAGACGCCGGGGCTTTCGGAGCAGAATGGCAAAGGGGCCCCCAAAAGCGAGCGGAAACGTGCGCCCAAGCCCTCGGCGCAGCCAGGGGAGGGGGCCGCGGAAGAGCGGGAGCGGAAAGAAAGGCGGGAAAGCCGAAGGCTCGAGAAAGGCCGGTCCCAGGACTACCCCGACGTGTCGGAGAAGCGAGAGGCCGGCCCGGCGGCGGAAGACGAGAAGCAAAGGAAGGAGGAGGAGTACCAGACCCGGTACCGCAGCGACCCGAACCTGGCGCGGTACCCGGTGAAGCCGCCGCCCGAGGAGCAGCAGATGCGCATCCACGCGCGGGTGTCCCGGGCGCGGCACGAGCGGCGGC